AAAGAGCAGCAAGTATTTCTCCTCCAGGACTGATGACCAGCCTGTCAGCTGCACCTAGAGCAGAATCACCACACAGTGTCTACAGAACAGGCCCTCGGGGCTGGCTTCCCCAGCTTTGCTCAAGTCCAGGGAGCCAGGCACTCGCTGTGAGCCTGGACCCTGCACTTGCTCCTCTTTACAGTCCCCTCTACTAGTGCACTGACCATGCAACACAGGTCCATTTCAGTGTATCTTGAGACTGCAGCATGCATCTGCTCTCTTAGAAGGAATCCTAGCCTTGAACAGAAAGGCACGATAGCACAATTGATTTATTCTTCTATGTTCAAGTTGTACGTTGCACGTTCTTTTCAGTTTTGAATCCAACTAGCTCACTTTGCGCATTTAAAGATCTAATTATTTCTCCTATTCAAAGAACAAAGGTCTTAAAACATATCCCCTCCTGTCTGGCATGCAAAGGTTACACACAGTGCTGCTACTGGAGAAGGCAGTGAAGCTTCCAGCCTGTGCCACTCCCAGGGATGTGAATTGCACCGAGCAGGGGCTTTCTGCAGGCAGCCCGAGCCCACAGCACCAGGGCAGATGGAGGTGCCCGAGAGCAGGGCACAGCAGGAACCGCGCACTGGCACTCCTGCACAAAGCCAGCCAAATCCGTTAAGCAGAACGGACAGAAGGAACACTGACAAGAGCACCAAAATCGCAAAAATAGGAGTAGCTGGAGACCGGAATGTATTTTGAGGATACCAGCACCTAGCTGTGGACATGCACGCTAGTCCCTTTCTTACGCACTGTGGGATGTGGTCCACAGCTAGCCAGACAAAAGACTGGAGACCCCCAGGCAGGGTGAGAGAACAGGTCTCACCAGGTAGCTCCCTGCTGCAGAATGAGTCTGAGGCAGCGCACAGAGAAAAACATTTGCTCTGTCTCTCCTCTTACTGCAACTCCCATCTTGTACCAGTTTCTTCCAATGCTGCTGCTTTTGAAAGGGCTTCACACCCTTGGCAGGATGGCAGCATTCACCTTTTTGCTCAGAGAAAAGACAGAGCGGGTGCATCCACTGTGCTGGTTGGCACAGGCCCTGCAGCTCAGCCTTCTCTGTCCCGTGACCCAAAGCACGTTGGGTGGCTGCAAGGCTGTCTCTGCCCTCGCACACCACGGAGTTCGAGGGTTTCTGCCGCAACAGGCACTCTGCCTCGCAGAGGCGGAGGAGCTGCAGCTCCTCGCTTAGGCCCATCTCAGGGAGATCCTCTGTGATCTTAGAGGTCTTCTCCAACCTAATGATTCTATGAGGTCAGGACTCTGCCTGCTGGTGAGGGAAGGTGTGCTGTTGAGCCAGCCCCAGCCCCAGGCACCTCTGCCTGGCAACGTGCTGCTTTACTGGCTGCTAAACAGAATTGTCGCGATTTGTCTGCAGCATTCATTACTGCCCCATGGATAGGGTAACTGACCCCAAGAATAAAGATGGTTAAACTTTCTAATTTTTTTTTTCATATAAAAGTAGACACGTCCTTACAACAGAGGAAGGTCGATCTATCTAATCAGAATGACTTTTTTTTAAAGTTACTTACAGTGAATTTTATTTTTCAAAAACAAATTATGTTTTTTCCTCAAGAGGCTTTTGAAACCAGATACCCAACTGTAGTCCAAAAATTATCAGCCCTACTTATACACAAAGCATCAGGTTAGTAAAAAAGTCACCCAGTCAGTTCACTGTTATGAGAATACAAGCTATTTTTACACAGCTCCTGAATGAACCTGTGTCAGTTGTAAAGCACATTACCACACATGCCGAGACCTGGAGCTATAGCTTTCCACCTAACAACTTCACAGCATTGGTGTCCCTGCCATCCAGAGTAACGTTTCTCTTCATCAGGGCAAGATCCATGAAAGTAGTGCTTCAACAGTTAAGGCACATCTGGGCCTTTGTCCCCAATTTCATCCAATTCTTACTTCACTTGTCATTAGTAAAAACCCCAAATTGTTACTTGTAAAGAACAGGATATGCAACAAAAAATAGTAGCATAAGAGTCATAGTTTGGTAAGCAATGTTATTAGCTATTGCTTCACTGTTAGGCTCAATAGTTAAACAAATAATGACGCCTCCAGCAGGCTTAAGCCTGATTTGTACTCTTGCTCTTAAGTCATAAAATCACCTCTGCAATTCAAAGTCAGTAAACCTCCATGACCAACAATTCAGTTTTCTTTTCTGAATGTTATGTGGAAGCAGGAGTCCAGGTCATCCCTCCCTCTGCCTCTCTTCCCTTGTTGAAATAGTAGTAATAGGCACAGAAACAGTGTTATTTCTGACCGCAAGTTTTGACGAAAACCCTGCTGTCCTACAGCCTGTCAAATGCAAGATGGTACTGAGCAGTCCTGCTGACAACTCAGGCCGGTGCCTTGAAAGCCACAGTACTCCCTGCTCGCACAGGGACAGTGACCTGCCATGGGAACGCTTCGGCAATCCAGCGCGCTAACCTGACTGAGCACAAAGGCGAGCGGGCTCTCTTCGTGCTGAGAATGAGACTCCCGACAGAAGCTCACTTGGCACTTACAGTTACAGCATCTTACATACAACTTCTCAAAGACTAACTTCTAGAAGACAAGCATTGGTGCTTAACCACCTTAGGGAGTAAAAAGCAGTGTGAAGAGCTCTTCTGCTTCTCTCTGGCTCAGGCAGAAACAAATACCCATCTAGAGTGGGCTGCACCTGTACTGCAGCTTCCTACGACCTAGCCTGAAGGCTGTCGCAGTCTCATGACAAAGGACATTGTTTACTCATTGACCGTGTGTGAGTGCAGACCCCACTAAGTTCCAAAATCTAACAACAGCCATTCTGGATACCGAAAAAATATCCCACCAACAACGCCACCTAAGCATGCCCATGATGAATATACATGTCCTTTTTCACACATTCATGCATTGGTAACATCTACTGCAGAGCTCTGTCCTGTTATAAAAGCAGCAGTGTTAGTCATTGCAGTAGGGTTAGTTTATACAGGATTCTGTTTTATATAATTAATGGAGGTGAAACTTACTGGCATATCTCGGCTGCAGCCCCATGCAAGCAAGCAGAAAGCAAAAATATTTAAAATGGAAGAGAGGAACTGGCTAGCAGGCAGCTACACTCACCCTTTTGTACAGCCTATGGTCCACCAGTGGGCTTCAGATTGCAAAACAATACCAAAGAGCTATTAGCACACACATGGCAATAACCGTACCTTACCAACAGCTTCACTTCAGGGAGGAGGAGACAACACTTCTGCTTGCCTGGAGAGAAAGAACCCTTCCCGCTCCTGGCTAGTGGACTACTCCTCTTTAGCAGGGAAGAGCAGACCTATGTTTAGGTGTTTTAGGGCAGGAAGTAATGAGCAAGTAAAATAAACCCAACACTGTCACCCCTGTGGCATTTCTAGCTGCATCCTGCCTTCCCTCGCAGTGATCGTCTGGTTTCTATCTCACTCCAAATGCTAGACTGCAGATCATAATCACAGCCTAGCAATGGTGCAGATACCTCGCAGAAGAGCAAAATTTTCCTAAGAATCAGAGAGAATAGGAAATAGGAGGTCACCTTCCTAGTGAAAGCTGACAGTATGGACCATATACGGCTTCAGTTCAGCAAAGCCAAACCCACTTGTAGCTCTTGCAATTCCTTGCAGCTCTAGACGTGTTGTACCTGGGGATCACCAAGTAGGTGGATTCTTCCCAAAATCATTAAATATGCAAACCCTTGATTCTGCCTCACACAGGACAGCGTGCCAGGAGACAGCTCAACTCACAGTAGGTGTAATGGCAAGTTTTAGGTTGAAAGTTAGTCAAGTGCCAGCTGACAGGTCCAGGCACCATGGGAAGATGGGCGAAGCTCTCCTGGGAGGCCAGGAAGTTTCTGTTTCTCATTCTCAACAAACGACACTTCTGTGACTAGTCGTGTTGATACCATGTTATGGCTGATGCATGTTTTTCACCAGAATTTTGAGAATATGACAACAGATGGATAAATACGTGTGTTTTTTTTTCCAAAGTCAAAAGGAAACGATACATGTCTGACTGTCAGAATGACTGCTGATGATGAATGACCACTTTTGTCTCCATGACATCCAATAATACTCAGCCACCAGAGCTCTAAGAATACATTTGACCAAAACTTACATTTCTTTTCTGACTGTCATCAATGTCTAAGTATCCGTTACTGAGAGAGCTCCAACCACAGAACCCCTCTCATTAAATCTCTCAAAACATCTGAAATACCATCTGATCAGGCAACAAGTGTTAAGTCCAGGAGATCAGAAAACACAAGACCAACATGCCCATCCACCCTAGATCCTCAAGCTGATCGGAATCATGTTTGTGCTATGAGGCCTTTGTGCCGAAAAGCTAGTAGCTAAAATAGGACAAGATGACCATTTAAGCTGTTCTGAATGCTAGCAGACAAAGAGTTCTCATAATCGGCTTAAAGCAGACTTTGATCAATTTAAAACAGAAAAAAACCCCAACCAACCATATGGTTGCCAGCAGAAACCCGGAGCAAATCTTGCCTAAAGGCTACAGAGCTCTCAGTAAGAGTAATTTACTGGCCCAGCAAGAGAATCTGCTTGTGGACAAAACCCTAGGTTGAACAGTTTAATTTTTTTTAAGGTTGAATTCCTGAGCTTTAAGAATTTACTGCCATTTCACTTAGCTCACTATCCTTATGACAGACTGCGAGTGGCTTTTACAGCTGCCGCCCCCTCCACCTCTATCAGCTGACAGAAATCTGCTACAAGATCCTGCGTCTTTGATGTTCCTGTGCATGCTCTCTTTCCTCTCACTCCCTCACATTTTCCAAAAATATCTGCCACTTCTATCCCTTGTATTGACAAGGCACTGTGGTTTAACAAGTGGCTCCATAGCGCCAATTTAACTCTACAGAGCATTAAATAACATTAGATGTTAGCTATTATAGCTTGCTGCTGGATGTTCAGGAGCTTGGATGGCTGAAGTATTTCTCTATGGAGACTGGAACTTTCTCAATTTGTTTACAGCGACAGTGTGCTAATTTTGAGCATTTCAAGCGGAGTCCACGATGGGATTCCAACAAGCAGTACTCCTGAAACAGTGCGTGGGGCTGTTAGCCTAAGTACCAGTCACATCATCATCAGCTATGAGTGTGACACAGGACGCACAGCAGACTGAACAGATACGATTAGGAGGCTTACACACAGTTGGTTTTAAGGTTTTACCTAACATCCCAAGTTTTACTACTCCATCCTTAGAAAGAGGTAAGCAGGAAATACCAAGCAGTGAGGAATAAATCTAATTATTAAGACACAGAAAATTCAGAAAGCTTGAAGAAGAGCAGATGAGAAGGAAGCAATTCCCCCATCTTTCACCTGGTACCCCAGTGTACACGCACCATGAACAGGGCAGCTCAGAAATCTGCTACAAGATCCTGCGTCAGAAACGGTGTTGCAGAGCCAAGCTTGGGAAGGAACGAGTGGCTGGTCTCGCGAGGATATGGCTATGCTGGGAAAAGCATGTGGATCTCCCCCTCAGGGTGAGCAAGCAAACGGGTCAGTCCAAGTCAGCTGAGATGCTGAAGCAAGTGAAGCTCTGTTTTAATAAGTAGATCTGTATCAATTCCAGTATTATACTTCCTTTGCAGTTGTTTACATAAGCAAAACACTTCAATCTGTCTTCAAAATCCTGCATGGTAATAAAGCTCTAAAAACCCGATTTCTATGTTGTTCTTCGCTGAGCGCAAACCAGCGCAGTACCGGATCTCTCTCTATGGAACTGGCAGCCAGGAGTCCGTGAGCTATTTCGGCAGTGCGATCCCAGATGCAGCCCAAGCGCACAGAGCACGAAGTGTTTTGGAAAACACCTTTCTTTGCAACTGCTTGCTAGAGCTTTTTTGGCAAGCAGGAGG